TTTTTACTGGATCCTGATGCTTTGTGACTCCTGGAGGGCTCAGAAAATTATCTCAGTGCTTGCAAATTTGGCTGCATCAAAGCATCTTGGAGGTAAAGAAAGGGGGCATGAGAGCTGTAAGTGAGGGGATGCTCCAGCGGGAGAGGGAGTTAAGGACATGGACTGGCATCAGGGCTCAAAGTGGATATGGTTGCTTTTTCCAGAATTGTTCCTCTGTGAGTGAGGTGGCTAGTGTAATGATGAACACTGTCCGTAGTACTCTCAGTGGCTTCAGAGGCTGAGGCAGGAGGATCACAAATTTGAGGCCAGCCTCAGTAATTTAGTGAGAACTTAAGCATCTTAGTGAGACCCTGTCTCAAAATAAACAATAAAAAGGACTGGGGATGTAGCTAAATGGTAAAGCACCTCTTTGTTCAATCTACAGTACCCACCCCTCCAAAAAAGGAAACCAAGCATATCATTAGCAATAGCTCTCAATAGCAGAGTCTGTTAGTTGACAAAACTGGACAGGGCAAGAGAAAGACCCAGTTTACACACCCACATAGATACATATCTAATTATGTTAAGATCTCTGTCACCCTTGTCTCTCCTCTCTGAGCCCAAAGCTCAAGGAGTTAAGCAGTGGGGAAGGAGGAGGAATGTCTCAGAGCCAGAACTCATATCAACTTCTCTACCCTACACAGCCAGCATCACAATCTATTAGAGGAAGACAAGTTGATTGTATTAATGTCCAGCTTTGTATTCAAAGTTTTAAATTGGACAAGTGAATTTTCAATAACCAAAAAAAGTAGAAAGTTATGACATGTTCCAAATTCCATTAAATACAAGAATGAGCTTTAACATGTCATGGCTGGAAGCCTTATTTAAAATGAAAAATAAACTATTTCCTGCACATGCTCCTGTTGAGATGTTGTGAACAAGAAAACAAGCGATGAAATATGAATTACATGCCATACCACATATACTAAGGAGTCAGCACTAACCTAAAAGCAAAACTTCATGGGCTTTTACTTTATTTAAATGTAAAATTTCACCTAGGTCCTCTGTTTAGAGAAACTGCATTCTTTCATCTTCCTCTTTGCTTTAACAAAGTAATGTTGTCTTCTCTCAGTTTGCAATCTACAATATGAACTTACCTAGCCCTCGGAAGAATATAAACTCAGGTTATCTCCTATTATGTTTCTGGAAAGTTCTTCTGAGAGAAGCAATATTTTAAAAAATTTCATCGAAGAAACGTTATGCCCCATGAGTTCTATCTTTGAACCAAGTTAGACGCTTGGGAAATATGCATATTTGACAATATAAATATGTCTTCTTTAAAAATCTGTATCAACTTCTTAGTTGTATTCTCAGGTCTCTTTGAATTTGTTATAAAAATTATTATACTAAATTTTTATACATTTATTGGTAAAAATATCACTGACATATTGGAATGTATTGATCAGTGTGACCCTCATATAAGAAATGTCTTTTTCAACTTAGTGACAGGAAAAATTTTCCTGTGTTCCTTTCTTCTCAATAATGAGAATTGTATAACTATCTTTGTTTCTTTTGTAATCCTTGCTGCCTGCAAGCTCAAAGCCAAAATTGTAGCTGTATCAGTGTCTCAAGATGTAGAACATATTTGCATTTATACTTTTTATTGAATTTCATTTTGAAACTACTTTATCAATTTATTGTATATTTTGGAGGAGTCTGTAAAGAGAGACGCAATGCCCAGAAAAATTATCCCTAGCATTATGAAGACAGTTATAGCAGTTGCAGAAATATCTTTTGGAAGAACTTAGAAAACAAATCCCATTTTATTTTATCTATCTATCTATTTATTTTTGTGTGCTGGTGATTGAACCCAGGGCCTTGTTCTTGAGAGGCAAGCACTCTACTAACTGAGCTATATTCCCAGCCCCTACAAATCCCATTTTAACTATGAATACCCAAAAAAAGGTGGGGGAAGTCAATGACAGAGTAGTGACAAGCTGGCTCTCCAGCAGCAGTTTTTTTGTTTTTTTGGTTTTTTTCCTATTAGTACTGAGGTTTGAATAGGACCTCACATATGCTAGGTAACATTTTACCCCTGAGCTACATCCATGGCCCTTTTTATTTTTAATTTTTTGACAGGATCTCACTAACTTGTCCAGGCTGGCCTCAAATTTGCTATCATCCTGCCTCAGCCTCCTGAGTAGCAGGGATATGGGCCTGTGCCACCACATATGATTGTCCAGCAAGTTTTACATGATCTCTTCCTGCTGAGATAGAGGTTAACTAATGGTATTTATACTCTTTGTTTTCTCAGCTTAAGCAAATGAAGGTGGATGGGTACCATCAGAACTATACACAGTAGGAAAGGATGATCCAAAAATGACAACAGCTGTGTTTACCCAGGCATCTGGTTCATTTTCTAGTTTAAAAATGTTGGCCAATCTATATTGTACCTTAGTATTATGAAGACATAACCTAGGTATAACTTTAAGGGCTTCCATTAAATTAATCAGATTATTACAGACATCCACACAAGCATAAGAGAACTTGGTACAGGCTAGGGGATATTTAAACAATGATAAATATCATCCATGAGTAGCCACATTGGCACTATACTTCTGTAGCTTACGGCCATCAGATGTTCATTGCTATAAATTGCAAAGTGTAGGCAGGACTATGTAATAATTTGTTGGCAGATAAAAATGCTTGTGGTCAGTGGTTATTTTAATTGTCATGAAATGTAACATATCTATTGTGGGTTTCCAAGAGACATATCTACAAATATATTCTCAATTATTTTTTCATTGTTGACGGAATGGCACAATCACAACTGAGTCATGCTCAGAGAGAAGGACAACTTTTTGAAAACATTTCCTTCATTCCATGGTTTAAGACAAAAGGATTGTGGAATGATTTCATAAAAATGAAATAAAAAATTTAATGAAAGACAAAATTTTACTCTAAGGCCTTTTTTCCCCCTCTTAGACACCAATTATTTTGAAATGACTCACTTTGCTTTTGTATCTTATAACTCCAAGAATGACTATCAAGGAATACCTAAATATGTAAAATGTTCCACTCAGTGAATAATTCAGAATCTAATGTTTTATTCCTTCTTCTTTCCATGACATTTTTCAATTTTCTACTAAAATGTAAGCTACCATGAAATCTGATGATGTACACTGTAATGACTACTTGAGTGGCCTGAACAGAGGCCATTAGAATAGGAAGGACAGACATACTATTGATTATCTTTTTGTATCTTTAAATGGATATCCTCTTACCCTCTGTTTACATACTTTTCATCTCTGGTTTTCTGAATTTCTTGAAGTTGTGACTTATACTCACAGGATATTAAAAAAAATACAAACAAAAACCCTCTCATTTTCTGTATTTACATTACTAGGTATACATAAACTTACACATAAAATAAAAGACCTTGGGGACATACAGAAATTTATTTGAATTGAGAATTTGCATTTTGTGAAAGGAGAAAAAGTAATGGGCTAGGATTGAAAGGGATAGAAGATCTTATCCTAGAAGAAGGATACCACAAGTCTATGTTCAAAGTTATACTAAAGAAGAATCTGTTTTCCTTTGAAAGTAAGAACTTAATCAATATTTTAATAAAATATGAATATAAAATAAAAGATAGTATTATTAATCCATATTAACATTTCATTGGAAGAAATTTAATTTTTAAAGGCTGTGTAAGAACAACTTAATCTCAAAATCTAGAAGTTTTCACTGTTATTATATTTTTATTTTTGACTAAGTTGTATTGTCCAAGTGAATAAAACAAGAATCTGATACTACTTTATTGAATAACTTCAAGTAAATAAATATGCATGCTGTTTACTAGTGTTAAGGGATCTATTGTCCTGAACATAAAGGGTCTATCTCTCCATCCCAAATTCAGTATGTCTAACATAGAAGTTTCTTGGGTTATACTGGTAAAGAGTGATTCCAGTTCTTGGCAGCATGGTTCCACACTTTATCAGGAATTCCAACTCTTGCACCTGTCCAGGTGAGCCATTTGTTAAATGGGTGTAGAGTGGAATTAAACAGTATTTATTTGTTTCTTTATGTTGATTTTTAGACCTCACCAAACACACACATGCTTCCCTCTTTTCTTTCTACACAAATATTTGAGAGCCCATATATTCTAGTAACAGGGTTCTTATCTGTTAACAATTCACTATCTTTTCGAATTGAGAAACAAATAAAAATTCTAGTACAATGAGTAAATATTAGTATACATGAGAACATAAAGCAGAAGAACCTAATATGGTTTATGGGGATTAAAGAAGACAATTTAAAGATCATACTTAACATAAACACATAGACAGTTGCATACATGTATACACATGTATATGATATATATAAAATTTATATATATGCATACATACATATGTATAATTTCCAAAAATAAGATAGTAGTGAGTTATCTGATATGCCTGTCTGCAGTATGATGAAAGAAAAACACTAACTTAGGGGTTAATATTTGTGAATAACTGACTTCTCTAGAAAAAGGATACCACATAATTTAAAGCTGTTAATGTGTTTCTAACCTCTAATGCGCTTTCAACAGCTGACTTATAGTTAATACCAAAGGAAAACTTTCATTACCTGCATGACAGAGTAGAGAACATGTCAGATTAGTTTAAAAGTTATTGGCATTAGTTCTAGTTTGGCAGTTCATTAACTATGTGGTTTTGACTAAGACATTTGATATAATTAAACCTCAGTTTCTTTCCTGGAAACATGATGATGCTGAGTAAAATTGTTTAAAAAAATTTTATCATCTGACTTTTCTAAATATTTAGGTCTATGCTAAAATTTAAATTATCTTAAGACAATAGTTTTTAAATTCTTGCTCCTAGAAAGTGTTTATAAATTATTCTTGTTCTTACTTCCTACAAATTTTTTTTTTGTTACTCATCACACAAACCATCTCTGCCACACTGGCCAAGACTTGTCAGACTGGTTCTGTTTGGATCATCAGTGACTTCTTTCTTCACCTCAATCTAGCTTACAAAGTCACTGATAGAGCTGGATGCACACATTTGATTGTAGACTGGTCTCTGTGGGAGTCTCCTTGCTGGTCAGCAATGTATAGGTGAGTTCCCTTTTCTTCTTGTCTTAAGGAAGGAAAAATGGTATAAACTATATCAAGGAAGGTATAGATCTCTAATTTATTATCTGTAACGTATATAAAATGTAAAATATTTTTGAGATTTTTACATAAGTCAAGAAATAAATGTCAATTCTCTCTTGATTAGCATACCTGATCCTCTCATATCCTATCACAGTGTTTTCTGTTTACTCTCAGAAGGACTCTACAAAATGTAAAGGTATATGATATTTGACAGTTGTCTTTCACTTTGTTCTAAGAAGAGTAGCATGTGCTTTGATTTGAACTTTATTTATCATACTGAGAAAATACTCTTATTTCAGAAGGAATGCATTAGAAAAATATAAATGTAAAGACATGAAAACCAAAATTATGCTAATTTCTTTAAGTAAGTAGTTCAAAATATAAAAATTATAAATTTTTGAAATTTATAAGATGATTACATGACTAAATTATTATAGTCAGATTTTATAAATAAATCCAACAATGTGCTTGACTATAATTAACTTCTCTATTGTTTTCTCTCAGAGTTAGCAACAAGGTTTGAGTATACCAATTTGGGCTAAAAATATCTCATATTCAGATTCAATTTTCTTTTTTCTGACATACAACTTTTGATTTACTTTGAGAAGAAAACCATTTGAAAAATATAAAACCTCCATTTGGAATCTGTAATCTTCATTAAATGGGGAAAACAGGGCCTGACATTGGGAGAGAGAATTTCAACATACTTTGTATGAGATGTTTAATTCTCTTTCATACCTGTCAATGAAGCAACTAAGAGCTATAGATATTACAAAAGTACTCAGATTTCTCAAGGCTCCCTGCTTTTTGCAATTATTTCTCCAGATTCTATAATACTTTTGTATCCTACCTTCTTTCCCTCATTATCTTTAAAATTTTTATCATATAAAACAGGAAAGCCTCTACCAAGCTCAACATACTAAACAGATCTAGGCCTCATCTAAGTCAGCTTTGAGTGAGTCTGGATTTGATTCTAAATGTTTAGAGAAGCCATAATAAAGGGGTATGGGAGTGAATTTTTCTAAGAGTAGTCTCTAATTTGACATAAAGCATATGCTTACTTTTTAAAGTCCCTCTTCACAGTAGATAGAAGTTATCTCTCAAGGAAAAAAGACCAAAAACAGCTAACAAAACAAAAGCCAAAAATGTCTTCCTGATCTGATGTTTTTGTAAGAAAAATAAAGCATGTCTGTTTGAGTGTGCCTACAAGAGATGAAGCATTTAGGGAATGAGCTAGAGTGAAAAGGGATCAAGTTTATTATACACATTTGTTGGACTAAATGTGCCAACAGGAATTCTCTGAAGAAAGAGATATAATTGAAATGCAATTAGACATTTTCTATTTAAGGACTTTGGGTCATATCTGGAAAGCATATCAGAAAAAGGCAGGGAATTGTATTAAATAGCACAATCTTTTCTCTTAAGTAAAATTTTGATAGCCTCTTCCCCTATTTCACCTAAATGAGAATCATATTTTTAAGAATTTAAGGGTAAGAAAAAAAAAACATTAGAGCAGGTAAACATTCATCTTATGTTGCTACTTTCCCCAAACACTTATTTTATGCTATTGTTTGGGCATGAACCAATCAACATATGAACTTTATAAACATATATGCATATGTGTATGTGCACACACACACACACAGTCACACACACACACACACACCAGAAGGCTGAAGAAAACTTTACTGGGAATAATCTTATAGTGAAGAGGTTTATGAGAAAAAGAACATATTTACTGAATATATTTCTTAAATATATTTACTTGTAATGGATGTGTATGCTAAGTATGTTCACCTATAACCCCAAAACAAGATGAAGATAAGCAGATCAAATGTACAGGGATAACATCTATGTATATTTAAGTAGATGAAGGTGAAATGAGGACTATTCAAATGAAACAAAATATACTTTCATTTTTCTTAAGAATTAGCAAAGGCTGGCTTAAGTACCCCCACGTTCAACACAACGAGTGCTTATTAAAAATAGTGATGCCCAGCTCCCATTCCAAAAATTCTAATTACTCTCTAGTTGTGGCATGGGAATCATATTTTAATAATTTGCACTAGGTAATTCCTAGTTGACCTAAAGTTTGAGAAGAACAGGTATGGTGTAGATATAAAAAGGAAGAAACTTGTAAGGTTGAAAGAAATTTAAAAAGAAATGAAATAGCTCAGTGGTTAAATGAGGCTTCCCTTTGTTTTATTTCAATTGCCATAATTATATCTTAATGGGAGAAGCTCTCTCCCTAGTCAGCTTTCCCTCTGAGGGAGAAGAGCATTCGTTTATGCAACATAGTGATGATTAAGGAGATGAGGGTTATTGCAGAAGGCACAGAAACTGAAGGGAGGACACGGATATTATTTGAGTAGTTGAGTCAAAAAGGGAGGCTGATCTTATTTGTATTTTAAAATCTGTATGTTTACAGGAAAAACTTCAGTGTAAAACGAATATGTCAGTATTACCCCCTGAACTAATCAGGGTGGTGCTGAAGGGACTCTCTGTTAACAGACAGACCCAGAGTTGCTTCCTGATTTAGTTTCAAATATTGAGCCCAAACTCATTTCTCTTTCAACTAAGATCAGTGCTGATTCAGATAACAACTTTTAGTGAGTTCTCATTGTGGACTAAGTTCTGCGTGGACTTCCATTGTGGATTTCGTGAAGTACTATTTCAGGCATGGTTATTGTTATCACTCTTTATTAAAAGATGAAGTGACTGTGGCTCCAATTGTACAGGCTGAGTAAGTGTTGGATTCAGAACGTGACCCGGTCTTTGTGGTTTTAAAGTCTAGGCTCTTATCCCTGTAGCATTGTCTACCATGTGCAGGAAACCAAAAGTAGGGCCTCTTGAAAATGTATACTAGAAGAGAGAAATGGACCATGTAAACACACATATGCATGGAGAAAATGTGACTGCATAAGCAAAGCAGTAGATATAAAGACTAATATGTGATTGTTCACATATATGCTGGGGGGCAGGAGGGTGGGATATAATTTTGCTTCCTTTTATAGGTTTTTAAGAATGCTTTGACTGCCTTAGTTAATTTTCTTAAAACTGTCTTTGTTTTATTTATTAAATAAGATGGGACCTAATTCTTCCATTCTATCTAAAAGATGACTGAGAGTAAGCACTTTGATTAGTGTTTTCTAAAAAAGGATTTCAACATTGGCTATATTGTGGAAACTGAGTTCATCTTAGTGTAGCATTTCTTAGAATGAATTCATTGGTCAGTAGTGACTGTGACTAACAGACCTGTGTTATTCTTTCATTGTTATTTTCCTAAAAAAATGTATTCTTGCTTCAATGTACAGAGGAGATAAATAGACATACTCAAGAAAAATAGCACAGTATATGCCTAAAAATCAGCTCTGAGATTTTTTTTTCCTCAGTAATTTTTGAAATTTTATTTGTTGGAGAGATGGAGGAGGTGAGTGATAAATAGGCAGTTATAAATAATGGTTCTAGACATTAGTATGATTGGTTTAAAATATAAAACAAGGTACTAGTATAATGAATAACAAAAAGGGATGATCAACATACAATATTAAAGAACTCACCCTTAGAAGGTAAAGTTGAGCTCATACTCAAACCTGAATGTCGAATGTTAAAAATAGAGTATATTAGGTCAAGAAAAAAAAAAAGCAGAAGATTCCGGTCAGAGTAACGAAAGTGCTAAGGCAAGAATAAGCTGGATATATCCTAAGTACAGAACAAGGCTAGTGAAGCAGGAGCTCAGTAAGCACTCTTGATGACAACAGGTTCAAGAAGGAGGTGGGTTGAGCAGTTGTGGGGCAGGTTGTCTGAGACAGTTTGTGGAAAACTGAGTCCCTGACTTCATGACTCTATCAGGGTTAGAGTCTGGAGGAATTGTGTTAAGAAGTTATTGAAGCACACTCCCTTGGACCTACTCTTATTGAAGATACTAGATGAGAACTGTAAAGAAAGTTCTCACAGATTCGGGCATGATTTAATAGGTTTGAGATCTGTGGATGAGAGGATGAGAGGGATTTAAGAGGTGAAGAAGGAGGAACAGGCTGCAGAGAGAGCCAATACCTCATGCCAAAACCTGCAAACCCAACCTTCTTACAGGTACATATGTGGATGGATGAGTGAGTGATTTCTGAGATTTTTTTTTAGAGTGGTAATTCTAAAATTAAAGCTAGTCTTAGAAGAATTCAAAGTACCATACAGGCATCATTAAATTCTATCTTGCAACCTTTCATCTGAAGCTGTCAGATGATATCTCTTTTTTGAAGCTTCAAACACTAACACAGAAGGATTTAGCACTTTAAGTTGAAATGTGAGTCAGTGCAGGACCATGTAATAATAATAATTGCTATCTTTTGTTTCAAACATACTATGGGTCAACTACTGTCCTAGATCATCATGTGTGTTTAATCTTTATAACAACCTATGGGTATATTATTATACCTATTCAACAGATTAGGAAACTGAGGCTCAGCCAAATACCATTTTTGCTCGGGGATAATAAATGGCAGAACTAAGAATTAACCCAGGCCTATCTGACACATATATTCTTAATCACAATGCTGTACCAATCTCACAATCTCTCCTTTGTTTACATAGGTGGTTCTTATACTACTCTGGGTTAACTGTCTTATAGTGTTAAAAGATATCAAATTTATACTTTTTTTTTTGGTACTCAGGATTGAACCAAGGTGTGCTTTACCACTGAACTACATACCCAGTCCCTTTTACTTTTTATTTTGAGACAAGGTCTCACTAATTTCCTTAGGCCTTGCTGAGTTGCTGAGGCTGACCTCAAACTTGTGATCCTCCTTCTTGAGCACCACCACACCCAGCTCAAACTTATGTTTTCAAAGAACAATATTATTTTTCAAAAAATAATCTTTGAAATTGACCTCTGAGGCTATTGGACAGGAAGAATTGCTATCTGTATTCTACAAGGAATAAAACACTCCAAGATCAGACAACTG